CTTTTGATTGCTTTGTTCTTTACCTGCAGAGCACAGCTGTGCTGTTCAATGCACTTCTCATACTGTGTGCAGCTTTCTGCCACCTCCCTTTCCTTTGCCATACAGCCACATCATGCTCCACTCAAACCCACAGTATGTGCCTTTCATAGTCTCCCGTCCCTCGTCAATACCTTGTTGAAGTAGAGTGAGGAGCCAGATGAGATGACCCCACAGCCTTCTTCAGGCTTGACAACCTCTCCCCCAATAATTTCCTGCCACTCTGTCTTCAGGGTGTCTGAGTTCTCAAAATCAGACATGAGGGTTGAAGAAAGGGGATTTTCAGGCTGACATTCAGTACCCTGAAATCCTGAGTCACACCTGGAAGGAAGGATAAATGTAACAAGATTGTAAAGACTTTAGTTGACAGTGACAATTGCTTAAGGATTGAGGAAAATAGAAAAAAACCTGTATCTTCTTTCTAAAGAAGAAAGTTTGAAGCTGGCAAGCCATTCTGCCAACAGGTGCCAAGTAAGCACTGAGCTGGTCCCTGGCATCCTTCTGACCCAGCAAAACAGCTTTGGCACCGAGTCAGTCCCTGGGGTCCTGGTGCAAAGGGCTGGAGGGGCCACCAGGACACCTACAACAGGGCAGCCCTGTGCCATTGAAAGCTCTTCCAATGCTTGGATCTGCCAAGGGTATGGGTTCTTGGACAGATTGGTGGTGTGGAGCAACTGGCTGCTGATGTTGCTGGAATGGTCTAACACATTCAAGCACTATACAGAATGCTTTGATTTTCTAGTGTTTAATCTAAAAACAACTACCAAGAAAAAACTTAGTATGAAAAATAATAGAATACCTGAAGTATCAGGAGACCATTGTTAAGAGGGATTGACAAATGTTTCATACCTGCAAACACCGTGGTCACACCAGCCATGGCCACTGCACATGTTGGGACACTGCTGTCCAATGTAGATGTTGTCTAAGGCCCATTCATCTTGGGCTGTGTAGTAGCACTGACTCCAGCGGAAACGTGTGGCACTGGACCTTAAAACCAATAACAATGCTTTAATTTGTGATTCTTTATGGAACTGAAAGAAAATCTAACTAAGAAAGATACAGTTAGTTGATACCACAATCACAGCCCAGGCTGCAAAGACTGGCACAACCACAGATGAATTGTTGTAAGTTAACTTGCTAGGTGATGCCACTCGCTGCACGGGGCTAGACAATGGACTTCCCAGTCATTGGTAGTATTTCTGGGGAAGGCTGCACAGGTGTTAGAGGAATTTTGAGCATTATTTTAAGGTAAGCCTAGCAATGAATATTACTGGAGTTTTACTGAGTGCCAATCTGTGATGGCTGTAAAACTAGAAAGGTGGATCTGGGTCACGACTTTGGTTTTTATAATTTTGGTCACAGTTAACAGATCATAAGTTGTGCAAACAAGTTTCTTCTGAAATTTATTATTTAAAAATTCTTAAATTAAAGTTCTTGAGTGTCAGTTTCTCCTCTTTGAATACCAGATACTTCCATTCAACAATAGTTGACTGTTTCTATTTTGATACAGAAATTTCTATTTGTCAAGATTATTCTAAACTAGATTTTGCTCACATGTCACCAGTGACATTGAGATCACAAGTTTTTGACAAAGATCCTGTTTCATTGCACCGATTTTTTTCCACACTGCAAATAGAATCACAGAATTTTAGAAGCTGGAATTGATCATCTAGTCCCAACACCCCTTCCATGGGGGTTGTGTCCTCCCCACTAGAGCAGGTTGCTCAAGGCTTCATCCAACCTGGCTTTGAACACTGTCAGGGTTGGGGCTTCTACTGTCTCCCTGGGCAACCTGATGTCTCATCACCCGGAAAAAAAAAAGCTTCTTCCTAATACCTAACCTAAATTTCCTCTCCTTCAATTTGTACCCATTGCCCCTTGTCCACAAAACTTTGCTGTCACTGCAGCTCCTAACAAAGCTGCTCTTGGCCAACAACTCAAAATCTGCAACACCCAAGGTTTGTTGTGGGGAATCATGGAATTAATTTCTTGCCTAACTAAGCTCTGTGTATTTGTAATATTCTTCAAGCATAAAGCATTGTTGTAGTTTCTCCTTACTAGTTAAACAGTTCATCATCAACAGCTTGTTTTTCTTCACTCTAGTGAAGTCAGCTAACATTATTTATTAAAAAATGCTGTTGCCCCTCTAGGAGATCATCCAGTGCAGCATTGACCTTTTCCATGGGAGTCACTCCTGCTAACCAAACCCAGCCTGACATCCACCACCCTCAAAAGTCAAGGATGGAGAAGAAACTATATCATGGGAAAAGCAATTATTGTCATCATTGGGCTTTTTAAAGCTGCCCTGCCAAACTGTGCACATCCACCAAGTTACAGACGTTGTCTAGTGGCTGCTCCCAGATGGTGGACACAGAGACCCTCCATACCAAGCTCATGCCAGAATGAGACTAAGAAAAATACATTGCATGTGAAGTGAAACAGAGATGGGAAATCATTCATTGTGATGGAGCAAAAGGGAAAAAAGGGGTGGTGGTGGCAATGTGGGCACTGATGGTGGATCGCAGAGCTGTGGAGAGGTAGGACAGAGGAAGCAAGGCTGACTCAGGAGAATTAAAAATCAGATTTTAAACTGGGACAGGCCTGTGTCTGGCCAAGGGCTGGCTGGGGGAGTTGAGGATGAGAAGCAGCAGGTGCCTAGAAGAAGCTTCTCTTCTAGTTTGTTTCTTAGCCATATGGTTATGTTTTGATGGCACAGGATATAATGCTGTTACTCTAATTTAGGATAAAAAGCCCTTTCCTCACCCCCAATAATTTATGTAGAATAAGACCTATTAAAATGAATACTGTAAAGGTGGCTGAGCCACCTGCTCACATGTAAGGAAGTGAAAAAGCAGACAGAGAAGGCTTGCGCAGCTGAAGTGGACAGCGTGGCAGAGCAATTTGCCATTCAGTCACATCCTAGAAGTTTAGTACATGCATGGAGAAATTTGTAACACCAGTTTTGAATTTCTTGAAGAAATAAGTGAAGCTGCCCCAGGGCTTTATTTCTAATTGAAATGACCTTTGTTGTCTGTTTCTAAGTATCTGTTTGATATTGCAAATACTGTAAGCATTTCTACAGCACTCAGAGCTAATCTGCAGGGGCAGATCTGCTGATTAAATACTCCCTCAGGATATACTGTATTGATGGGTTTACATTACAAGGGCTATGAATTATCCATTAAAAATGCACAGTGCCAGTAATCTGCACACGAAGGACTTCCTAGGCTTGTGTAGGCACAATGGACAGTCAATATTCGCCACAATTATTTACTGTTTATTTTTGGAGCGCCCTGAGCTCAGCACATCACCTCAGTGGTGATGTTCATGTTCACTACAGAGCATCAATGGCACCACAGAGAGCCCTGACAGAGGCTGTAGGCTCTGCAAAGACAGTAATGACTGGTGTTAACTCTAAAGTGTGCTGAGGAAAAAAACAATACTGAAACCAAAGAATGGTGTTAGAGCAGGCAAACACCTCTCCCCTACCCTTCCCATGAACTCCCAGCACAATAAAATTGTGTCACGTTGTTTTCCCAGGTAATAGGAGGCAAAGTACTGTAGCTGGACATCTCCAGTTTTCATCAAGGGCAGTGTGTGGGCAGAGGTGAGGTGTGAGACCCTACAGCCCAGGGGTATTTATAGCATACTGGGGGAGATTTTCAGTCATACAGTGGCAACTCCACCATCCCATGGAAGTCTCATGGTGCCCAATAAGTGGTGGTGCCCCCTAAACACAATTCCTGGTGCTGCTTGGTGTGACATTGCTGACATTGCCATGGCCACTTGCTGGGTGCTGCAGGGTGCAAAAGACCCTGCAGGGTGGGTGTGCAGGTGCATCACGGTTGGTTTTGGGGCATGAGGCTCACATCTGACCTACACAAACAGTGGGGAGACCTCTAAGATCATCAGGTCCAACAATTAACCTGCCACTCTGCTGGAACCCCTAAATCCTAAACCATATCCTCCAGCACCAGATCCAGATGCCTCTTAAACACTTCCAGGGATGGTGACTCCACCACCTCCCTGGGCAACCTATTCCAGTGCCTGAACACCCTAACAGGGAAAACATTTTTCCTGACATCCAATCAGACTCTCCCATCTCAGCTCAAGGCCTTTCCCTCTAGTCCTCTCCCTGCAGCCATGGCAGGACAGACATCCCCCACCTCTCTCCAACCCCTGTCAAGTAGTTGCAGAGAGCCATGAGGACACCCCTGAGCTGCCTCTTCTCAAGGCTAAACAAACACAATTTCCTACATCTCCACTTGTTACTTAGAAGCTCCCCCAGATGAATACAGGAGGTTTGTTTCTCTCATTGAAGAGGAGGAAAGGAGGAGGCTCATTACTGCCTGGAGATGAACATGTGGCCAAAACAGAGGTATGTGCATCCATCCCAGTGAGCAGGGCTTATTTTTACCTGCAGACAGAGAGCTCTCCCATGGGAACAGCTTTGCCACAGTGGGAATCCCATGGCCCCCAAGCAGCAGAAGGGCAAGGGGCTGCTCTCCCCTTCCCACTCAGCCTGTTGCCACTGTCACACAGCTGCAGGCAGCAAAAGCTCTCATGGATTCAGAGTCCTCTCTGGGTAAGGTACAATGGTGCTGGGCTGAATTGGCAATTGCAAAAGCAACACTGCTGAAAAGCCAGTCTTGCTCACTGTTTTTGAAAGCTTTCCAAGGCTGCTCTGCACCTCAAGGTAACAACAGCTTAAGAGGATTATGCTGTTAAAAATGGTAATCAACAATTTAAAAAAGCCATGTTAATTAAGAAAAGAGAATAAAGAGATGAGTGTCAGCTGCATTCTCAGTGATAAAATACTGGTTTTCTGGACAGACACCATTTGGACACCTATTGAAATGGGAAGTGCAGTATTGAGGAGTTATGAAAGCATTTATTACAAGCAAAATATACCTCCCTAGTTCCTTGTATTTTTTCCTCTTTTATTTTTTTTATGCTACTGGAAGGCAATCTGGCTTTCTGATGGTATTATATCTAAGTCAGGTTGATGTCAAATAAAAGTCATTGTTGTTGTGTGACATTTTACACGAGCACAAGGAAATCATGTCCCAGAAGTATTGCAAGTGACATGATGTTCTTTCTGTTTTAGAATTTTTCAGATATGTGAGTTAAAATAAAATCATTGCCTTCCCTCCTGATATTGAAAGCTCTAATGATCTAATGCAAATTTGTGGCTGATAAAATTATATTTGCTACCTTCTGAGTTACCATAATTACATTTACCCAATTATCCTGAAACTCTCATTCAGTCATTAGGTGTTGATTTGTTTATGAAGTCAGCAACTGACAGCTGCTTGTGTCTCATTAAGGCCTGTTCATATGTAAATGCCTCCCATAAAACTGAAATTAATTTTCATCACTGTTAGAAATGTTCAGTTCAAGTACAATACAATTCCAGCAAGCAGGTGCATACATTTCATTTCTTCAATACAAGCCTCACTCTTGCAGCAGATTTCCTAACATCCCAAACCTCAGGTAACACAGGAGCCTTGTAAACTCATGCATGCCAGATGCAGAACATCCACAGATGTGAAGAAATACCAGCATGCCCAGAAAGCTTTACAAGAGAAATAGGTGCTGTTACAAACAATTCTCCAGCTGCATGAGCACAGCACCACAGCCTGACACTATCCATGTACCCAAGGTTCAAACCCACAGCTAACAACTTGTGCATGCAAGGATAAACTCAGGGAGGTGGTGGAGCTACCAGCCCTGGAAGTGTTTAAGAGGCATCTGGGTCTGGTGCTGGAGGATATGGTTTAGGGATTACAGCAGTGACAGGTTAATGGTCGGACTATGACCTGAGAGGTCTCTTCCAAACTTGATGGTTCTATGATTCTAAAAGCTCCAGCAACCATAGCAGGGTTGTGTAGGGGTGTGAGGGTGTATCTAGTCTACCAAGGCTAATGAGATGTTCCTGAGTCCTTGTTTTGGCAGTTTGTGTCCCTGTGCAGTAAGTACTGTGTATTTGGCAGCCCTTGAATGAGGCTGAGCCAGAAGGAAGGTCCCCAGAGCATCCTTCCCTGCACCCAAGTTTTGGGAAGGCAGCAGACTTGGCTCTCCCCCTCTGCACTGTTCTTCCCAGTCATGACTAAGATTTTGCCTGTGGGTGGTTGTGGCTGTGGAGTGTGGGTGGGAAAGGGCTAGGAGAGGGAGGGCACCCCAGAGAAGAGCCCTGTGGAGCACATTCACTGCCAGCCACAGTGCAATCTGTGTGGCTGGGCTGGCAGTGGAGAGCTGCACATCAAAGCTTCACCAGTAATCCCCAGGTTTGGAAAGGCAGAAACTTGCCCTCTGCTAGTAAGTGTGTGTTACAAATGCATCAAAAATCCCCTCCCTGTCTCAACCCAAAGGAACTACTGAGCCTTCAACCTGCTTCTTGCCAGTGGAAAGGAGGACAAAAAGAGGGGAAAGTGGCTGAGATGCATCTGATGTGCTGGATTGATTTTGCTGGGGAATGTGTGGCCAACCTTCCTTTTCACTCCAATAATGCACAACACAACACAGAGAATGTGTTCTATGAAGAGCAAAGAAATGTTCAGTGGTAATTTGTACCTTAATTACAAACAAAACTCTGCTAACAGACAGAATCCCTTCAGATACAAGATAGAGTGTGAAATATTTATGATTTGTGTGCTGCATAAAGCAGGAACCCAGCTATTGCTTCATCATAATTTCTCCCCACAGTCTCCTAAATTAAAACAGAATTATCTGCTTCTGTCGCCTCATATGCTGAGAAAAATTATTAGATGCTAAAGAAAAAAAAGGCCCACAACATTGGTATTATCATCAAAGACACAGTGTATAATAACAACTTGGAGTACAGTATATATCTTATAAATAAATTTCAAAACAACAACCTACTTTGGAGTGTAACCTGAAAAATTGTAGACACTCGTTAAACTCCTAAGTGCCTATGTGAATCACAGATTTTTGCAGCTGGTGGCACATAATGGCATCTAAGATTTAGTACATTATAATTGAACTCCAAAGCAGTTGTTCATAGACTTACTTGTGCCATTTGGTATTATCTGATCTGATATGTTTTAAGGATTCAATATTTGCCCTTGAGGTTTTGCCTGGAAATAGGAAATTTTGAATATTGGCTGTGTTGAAAGAAGGTGTCATTGTGGTGTGACTGATGGAAAGAGGTTGAGTTGAGGCCATGGAGAGTGCAAAATAATTAAATAAATGAGGAAGGATGAGGCAATACAATGAGAACTTAATCTGACCAAGCTCTCATTGCTGTGATAGATTCAGGTCAAACACAAGCAAAATGTAACTAATTAGAATAATTAAATTCTCAAATGAAGGATGCCCTGAAGATTATTGGGATTTATGACAACTTTTTTTTGTATGTTATAATAAAGCTTTTAAAAGAAACAATTAAAGAGATCAGCTAGTTAATAAACAAAAAATTTTAGGGCAGGCAAATCAAGTTTCATTACAATGAGCTGAATAGGGTAAGCCTTTCTGATAACTTTTGTTGCTGTTTTTTGCAGAAGAGAATGTTATTTTTTTAAGACATGCTATAAAAAGAAACAAGAGTAAAAAAATTCCCAGAAATGAATCATTAGTTATTGTTTTTACAAGGCTTTGGTCTGAAGATGTAAACAATAAGGAATGTGCATCATAAAAATTAACAATCCAAATAAAGCCTTCCTCCAGTGGGGCATTTATGGACAAGCACCACTATTTTTGAAAAGGTCTGAACTTTACTAGAAGAGTTGGAGTATATATAAAAAACAATCCTAGACAATAGTTTCTGTTGACTTCACCCAGCATTTCACTCTCTAATTATGTAAGGAAGGCATTTCATGTTCAATCTGTGCAACCGACTCAGCCCTGACACCACATCCACTGGCTTGAGCATGACTTACAGAGTCATATATATGACTCTGTGATCTTTGCCATAACAATTTCAAAGTAGACAAATCATCTGCACCCCCTCCCAAAAAAAAAAAAAATCAAAGAGAGGAAATAAATGCTCACCAAGTCTTCTGTGGTAAAAGAACTGTGATTCTCCTCCACTGAGTAAATTCGCTGGAGTGGTAAATACTTGCTGATGTAAACTCCTGGCAGCTTGGCATACTGGGAAGGCATTCCTTAAAGCAAAACATTTCAAAATCAGATTGAATGTCGAGGAATAATCAGGAACAGAAGGAAAGGTTAAATATTCACAGGAGCTTGTCTGGGTCCAGTTGGTGGAGTGAAAGACCCCGAAGCAGAAAGATCCTGGCATGGTGCGTAGAAATTCCTGAGCAAACTAGCAGTAGTACAATTAAGGATGGAAGAAAACCTTATGTCTCTATTTAAAGAGTTTAGCATTAGTAATCAGTAATGTTTTGCTTTCCTCCATGAGGATGTCTAGCTCATTTTTTAATTTTTACCATTTTCACCCCAGCATCCGGCACGAACTATGAAGTAAGGGCTATAAGACCACTGTGGAATAAGTCTATGAAAGTGACCTTCAGACCATTACACCAGTCATTTTAGACATCTAGTTATGAGCCCTTGCCTGGGCATGCTGGCTGTCCCCACTCCCTCCACCTGCAGTGAAGAGCAGCAGTAGGAACAGACAGAGCCACATCAGTGCTCAACTGCAGCCTAGGGAAGTTGTGCCCAGAGGCCCTTCCCATGCTCTGCAGCTGTGTTAACTTTGCCACCTACAGCAACTGGTGTAAATTCCTACTTCTGTGATTCTTTCTGCATTTCACTCAGATTCCCAGTGAGGTCTGTTTCCCCAGTTTTCGTTTTTTTTTTTTTTCTAATCAGAAAAGACAATCATTGTCACATCTTTTTAATATTAATTAAAGATGAAGTCCATTATCCCAGAATCTTACTGTTTTCTAGAACACCTCTTCTCATGTTACTTCATTTTTCTGCAATCATAGAGTCATAGAATCATCAAGGCTGGGGAAGGCCTCAAAGATCATTAAATCCAACCATTAACCTGCCACTGCTGGAACCCCTAAACCCTAAACCATATCCTCCAGTGTCAGATCCAGATGCCTCTTAAACACTTCCAGGGATGGTGACTCCACCACCTCCCTGGGCAACCTATTCCAGTGCCTGAACACCCTAAGAGGCAAAGAAGTATTCCTAACAATATTTCATTCAGTTATTTATATATTGCCAGAACAGGAACAAAAACTTTTGTGGTATGGTTTTGATGAAGCATTAATAAAGTGCTTGAAAGTTATTGCTAACTTGCATGATCCTCTTCTAGCTACCCATTCAGAGAGCCCCTTCTACACTTACTGCCACAGCACAACTTCTCCTGACCAACCCCACCTAGAATCACAGAATTTTAGGGGTGGGAATGGACCTTATGGATCCTCTAGTCCCAACCCCCTGCCATTGACAGGGACACCTCCCACCAGAGCAGGTTGCTCAAGGCTTTGAACACTGCCAGGGTTGGGGCATCTACTACCTCCCTGGGCAACCTGGGACAGTGAATTTCTTGGGCTTTCACATGTCCAAGAGTCTTTCACTGTTCTCTGCTGTGCTCATCCTCATAAGGTGAGTAGGACCTTAGGGAGAGACAACTGCTTATGCAAGTAGCCTACTTTGACTGCTCTGAAACTAGTCATAGAGCAGTGATTCTCTACAGAATTTGTGGAATTAAGAATATTTATATAATTAAATTATACAGTAATAGCTTTAGACTAAATTTCAGAAATGCAGAATATATTCTTTCACAGAGAAATTTATTGCTCAAATATCTTTGAGTATAAAATGAAGATCTGAGGCCTTATTTTCTTTTGTTGGGTTTTTTGAGTAGATTTTCTAAAGGCTTATTTTCCTTTTCAGAAATTTTCAAACATTTTTTGTTGATTCATCTCCCCTAAACGATCTCATGAAACAGGATCTGATCAGTGCTTGTGAACCAAACAAAACTTTCAAATATTTTAATTAATTAGTGTTCTGTGGATTTGCCAGATTATGTCCTTGAAATATACTACAAATACTCTTTTATCATAGCAACATGGGTGATGTGAGGAAAAACAATTTGGCTCCTAGTTCTTATCTCTGAACTCAGCTCCACTGAGCAAGGAAAGGAGCTCTAAAATCTGAAGGCAAATGATCTTCCACTGATGGCAAGCACAAACCCCAAACAAACCCCCACCACTAGGAACTGTTCTTGGACACCATGATGATGCTTGCTAGGTACAAAAGACATGAACAGTGTTTGAAAAACAGGATTTATAGCTTTCCTCTGAATTCTTTTTAAGGTAACAAACCATTACTTGGATTTGCAAAGTTCAAAAATCCATTTATTGCTATTTCTTTATTTTGCCCACCAAAGTAAACATGGCAAAACATAACACAGCAAAGGGTAACCAGTCAAAGCTTTAATAGCTAAGAGAAGAGGTAGAACCGGACATACAAATCCTTCAGTGAAAAGGCACTAGCACAAGTTCCCTGACAACCTCTGAGCCTGCTCAGAGGCAGCCAAAGGACCTTGGTTAGTTCACTCTGAGGCCAGGGAAAGCCCAGCTTTCCATCTAGGAGGGAAAACAAAAGCACAAATTATGGCCAAATGCACTGCTCCCATTTGTGCTGAGACAGGGCTGAGCCACACGGGGAAATAGCAGCCAACGCTGCTATTTGCACTTCTAGCAGAGAGGGGGAAACAGAAGGTCATTATGGGCCTGGACTGTGTTTGAACCAGGGATGGGAGATGAAAGGCTCTACATTACAATCCCCTGAAGGAATGTGCTTTCCATTTACGAAATGGCTGCGCACAAGGGCAGAAAGAATTTCTATCCATTTAAATTCCAGGAAACAGTACATGCATTTTGCTTAGGAAAACAAAGCAACAGCACAGGAAAGATCTCAGCCATCACCCTGTAGCTCTGTCTAACTGTGCCCCAGTTCGTTTCTCAGCCTTGGTCTATTCCTGGCACAATTTTGTGTTTCAGGGTTTCTTCCAGATATCATGAAGAACAGTTTAAATACCTCTATTAGTAATTTTGACTGATTCCAACCCAGAATTTCTTTGCTGAAAGGTGAAAAAGGAAAACATATTTCTTTGTTCAATGTCACAGGTATGTTATGTGTGTAAGCAGAGTTCAGGGAAGACAAAGGTCCTTGCTGCCAGCCTCACCTCCTGAACGAGATGCCACGTGAGGCCGTGGTTGGTGGAGTACTCCAGTTTCACCTGGTTGTCCATGTGAGGAGTAAATGCCTGACCACAGCCCATCACCAGGTTGAACTGTATCATGTATGAAGCTCCAATCTGCATGGACTGGGTCTCCACGTAGCGCATGCTAGAAGCTAACTTGGAATCTCCTGTAAAACTGAGAGATGTAAGGAAAGAATTAGGATGCATCCCCAAAATAATTCAGCAAGGAGCATTATGAATGGCTCTGGGTTAAATACAGTGATGCTTCTTCCTTTGTTCTTTGTTGCAGATTGGCACATGGGATGAGACCATGCACAGGAGAAATCTTTCTGTTGATACTCCTGCAAATTACCAGGAAGGCCTTGATGTATCCCAGAATGTGAAACACTGAATTATTCTGTTAGTTCTTACTATATGCTCTTTGTATTAAGGATCAAATTAGGATCAGCAAAGGGCAACGTAAGGAAAAAACCAACATAAAGTTCATACCCCAGGAGTGTCCATTGCCTATGGTCATGCCACTGTAACAGCTGCAATTTCATTCTAACACTGGACTGTAAATATACCTTACATCTAGTGCAAAGTATTCTTATTACACAGACTTTTCATTCCATTGATTTTCAAGTGATCCTATATGCAATGTGTTTACTGACTTTTGACTGTATTTCAGAATTAATATCTTCTATCCTCAGCTTCTTTTCTGTAGCATGTACTGAAAAAGAGTTATATGATCCAGTGGATTGGAGAATAATAACTGTTTGGAACACATATATACACATATATGCTACAAAGTACCCAATTACCACATTCATGGTAACACAATGTATAGTCTGAAATTACAAGGTTATTTCATTCTAAAAGCAAGTTTTTCTTCTATGCACTATTCAAAAGGGAAGAAAAAACCAAAACTAAATCAAAACCCCAAATGCAAGAGAGGTATTATAAGGAAGCAATAACAATTTAAACTTTGAATTCTCCACACTAGCATTTTAAACAGTATTTTAATGAAAGTTCACACACAATGATAATTGTCTCACTCTCCTTTGTTTGAGGTGTTTACTTAGAGCCTTCAGAAGTACTGTGGTCCTTTCAGCTTCAACAATTTCTATGACTACTCTTAAATTTCAAGAACTTAGGATAGGGATTGCTTCTTTTTAAAGAAAATCACGGCAAATCATCATGCAAAAATTAAAAAAGCTACATTCAGTACAGTGGTAATGAAGAGAATAATCTAGTTCAAGGTTGCTCTTATGGCCAAGTAAGCTACAGTTTCACATCTTAAATAAGAAATCCTAATCTTTAAATACAGTACAATAGAACATACTGGATTCTATCCCTGCAAAACTCAAGGTCACGACAAAGTGACGGTGAGGACTAGGAATACAAGTCTGTGGTCAGCATCACTTAGCACTCTTGAACTAATTCACTGTTTTCTATAGAGTCCTTTCCAGAGAGAGCACTTAAGCCATAAATGGCAGCATCTTGCCTTAAAGATTTCGAAGAAACTACTGAAAGCTGACATTAGTATTGTCATTATAAAGTTGCAGTCACTTGGCACAAGTTGAGATCCAGGCTGCTTTCTTCTCTCTGACCTTCTCTGTGACTTCATTTCCTAAAGGATGATCCAACTCATGGCACCATATGAAATGACCCAATCTCTGTCGATCAGCACCCTGAACCAACTGTGGAGACACTCCCTTCACTGCTAGGGCACTGTCATGGACAACTGGACCAGTTGGCTTGGAAAACTGTGTCTGGACTGTTTGCTCTTTCAGTCAGTGTTGTTAGTGTTTTTCCTCTCAATAGGACGGATAATTTTAAGTGGAGCAGAGGATATAAAGCACACTCATCAGCAGTCCAGTTGGCAACCTATGGTTTGTGGCCTCGTGCTTAGAACTGAATGTATGTCAGAAGAATTTGTGTGGCTAATGTCTGAATTTATTTTTCTTCCAAACTTTATCTTGGACTTGTCAAAATGACAAAAATACGCAAATTTGAAAGTTAAAGGTGATTTGGTATGACTTAGTTTTAATTTCCACAAAGCAGCTTGAGATTTCATTGGTTGTTACGGGAGAACACAGTTTTACTGAAGCCCTCTTTGGAATTTTGTGCCAGTATAACCAGGATCTTCGGGTATCAGTCATCATCCATCAGCCACATCAGCCACATGCAGTGGAATCTGCTGAAAGTTATATGTAGCAGTGCTTTGGAAGAGGATTTGGTGCTGCCCACATAAACCTAGGCACAACACATCACAGTTACCTAAAGCTCATCTGAACAGATTAAAGGACTTGAAACTAAATAGTTCAAAGAATTATCTGCCCAAAAGATGTCTTCCCAAAGTAGCAGAAGACAAGTGAAGGACTGGTACACTCAGCAGAGGTACAAAGAATTAAACAGTACATTTTGCCCTTGTCTTCACAAAAATTCCCTCTGTTCAATATTCCTGGTGTAAAAAGAGAAAAAAATGGATCTTAAACTCTAATAATTTCATTCTGGTTATTCTGCCTCATTGGAAGTACTCAAGAACTGTCTGGACACAAACCTGAGCCATGTGCTCTAGGGTGGCCCTGCCTGAGCAGGGAGGTTGGACCAGATGATCCATTGTGGTCCCTTCCAACCTAACTGATCCTGTGATTCTGGTGGCATTCAGGTCATGATTAAAACATTTAAAGTTTAGGATTCATTTTAATTTAATAACTTAGCCACAGGCTATTGTAAACAGTATATTAAGTAAGCATGGTTAAAAAGTCAAACCAGCTCTTTAAAATGGATATTAAAGAAATGTGAAAAAGGAAGCTAGTGTTGAGATGAAGACAATCTGTGATGCTCCACAAGCAGCTCTTTTAAGGGGAGAAAATCACATTATGGGTTCACAAAGTCCTTTATCATCCACAAACTGCCTCCAGCTGAACACAGGGAGCATTAGAGGTGGGGGCTCCACCTTACTTGCCACTTCTTTGCTCTCCAGATCTCTCATGTATGTGGTTAGGGGTATGCTCTTCTGCTGGAATACCAAATGTTTCTTTGTTCTGGGAGCCACACAGCTGGAATACTTTCCCAGATTTGGTAAAAGATGAAGTAATGTCCCTGGCGTAACAATAATTAACTAAAAAGTCTTCCGAAATGAGAATGCAGAGGCTTCATTTTTGTATAAATATGTTGCTGTGAGTTGGTTTCTGGCACGTATATAATTAGACCTGTGGAGGCACAGGAAAACAATGCCCATAGGTGCCCTCAGAACAATCGCTCTCCCTCCAAGCACTGCCAGCTAATTGGTACTTCTGGGAATGGTATCACAGTCAATGTCAGCCAACCTGCACTGCTCCAAACTGCTCTGAGATCCCCAGAGTTACCATATTTTCAAGGCTGGTACTTTTAGGAATGCTGAAAAGCCACACAGACGCAGCTAGTTTTGTAAAGCTGCACTGACCAAAAATATTGATGTGATGGCCAAATGCTCACACCAGCCCCAGCTTTGCTTCCATCAAAGGCAGGGGATGTTTGTGCCTTTTTGTATCACTTCATACCTACTTTGCTAAATAATTCCTAAGTCTTAGAATCATAGAATCAGCCAGGTTGGAAGATACCTCAAAGATCGTCAAGTCCAACCCTACTGTCATTACTAGACCATGGCACTAAGTGCCTTAACATAATTAATATAATGAAGTCAATTACCTGAAAGAAACTTCCTGCATGTTACAGAGTATCAATTAAACTAAAAGACAAAACATTTTAAACACAGGTAAACTATCAAGCTGATGTAGGACCACTGTAATACATTGCTCTATAAAGATAGCTCATGATGAGCCAGATTTACAGTCTTCCCCAAAGCTTCTCCAGGGACAGTGGGACACTCTGTTGTTGGCTACACTGAGTTACATCATAGTATTGCAAACTGACTGAAGAGAGTTTATTTAGCTAAAACTATTTCATTTGTGTCCAGATGAATACACACACACACAGAGATACATGTACACACACACACACATTTATATGTGTATATATATAAAGTGTTAGCATCCTTATTGATACTTTAATGCATTTCAGCAAATGGCTGTGAATAGTCTGTAACACTGCAGAGGCATTTGATTCAAGACCTTGCCTAGTATGAGCACTTTGGAGAAGTGATGAATTAACATACATCACCAAACTTCATTTTAAGTGTCCTGTGAGCACTTTGGAGAAGTGATGAATTAATATACATCACCAAACTTTATTTTAAGTATCCCAGAGTCCTTTCAGCATAATCAATACATTTGCTGCAATGAAGTCTAAAACCAATCTGAAACCAAATGCTGATGATGACAATCAGATAAAGTGACTGGCTCAGACACAGACCATTATAAACCACTCAAAAATCACCTTTGTTCAAATCATGTGTATCAACAAACCTCTCTGTTTTAGAAGAAGCCAGATATTGAAAAGAACAGCTTGCCTCTTAAACAAAAACAAGCAAGAAAAACCCCAAACCAAAAACCAACCAGGCAAAAAAAAAATCCCCCTTCTCAAATTTCTCCAATTTTAAGGGTAAACACTTCAGGTTTACAGATTCTGAAGCAGAAATGGAGGCCTAACAGACAATTAAAGGCAATTCAGTGAAAATGGGCCTGGGGATGACACCCTGTAAAATGATTTATAGCATATTTCCCCATAGTTGTACTAATGAAAAAGCTGTTGTCAGACTTTTCTCAAGAGAATGGTGCCAGTGCTACTGCAAGCTCTGCTCCCAGAAACTCATGAGTTAGAAATGAGAACCAAATGGACTCACAGCTGGGAAAAACCAACAATAATTAATTTAACTAGCAGCCATTCGTACAGACTTTGTCTAAGTTTAAAAATTTCCCTTGAGAGAAACAAGGTCAGTGAAGGATAGAGTTCATGTCTTCCAGTGATAATGAAAAATACTTATACATAAATAGTAAGGAAATAGTGCAAAGGCTTTGGTTCTTTATCAGATGCATGGAAAGTTCAACACTTGTACTATGACTGAGCACAAATCCTGGTCAATATATGGGATGGAGATTTCAGCTTAGTGTGTTTAGTATTTTGATTCTGATTTAGAGAGACAGAAGGAAAACAGAGGAACCTTTGCTATCTTAAATAACCTATCCTCCTCCCCATGATAAACTGGTCTGAAAAGAACAGAGGGAAAACAATGTCATTAAAGGGCTTTCATTCCAGCTCTTTGATGAGGAAGATGCAAACAGTTTGAGCCCTAACATGTTGTCTCGTTTTAATGAGCAGCGAGTACCTTCCTTGTCCTTATTAAAGTGGTTAATGGTGCTTCTACTGCCTCATTATCAGCACTGGAACACATTCAGTGCTGCTCCTACTGCTAAGCCAACTCCTTTCAGTTTGACAGATGATCAGAAAGTCAAATCAGATTGCTCAGAGATACTTGTTACTGAAATTCCAACAGTGTTCCTCGGAGTGTCCATGGGGATGCTAAAATTATTTATATTTTCTTGAGGTTTTCTATAATTACTGGGATTGTGCTTTCTCCAAAGAAATACATCTATGCCAATTAAAACTATACTGGGTTTATAGGTTGATCAGACTGGCAGAAAACTGTTATTTGGTTTTAAGAAAAGCACAGAGATTCAATTGAGTTTCCCTTGTATTAATTCCAAATGTTATGTGCTCCAGACTTCTATTTTTGTGAAGTATGTTAATGTTTGACTGAAAAAGCTCATTTTTATGCAATCCTAACAGATTTTTTGGTTGTTGTTTGCTTTTCACTTCTTTTGCTTTTCTTGCCTTTATTTTCTTTGGGGCAGGTGATGTTTTCTTGCATTTGTTTCTAAATACACTGTACATTTTAGACCTAATTGCAATATGTCATAACCCTGATCACAGTGTAACTAACTAAAGGGATATGATAACAGGCAAAATAACTACAAATGGCTAATGTCATTCTACACACATTCTGCTGCCTTTTTCTTTCTGGATTGTAACCTAATGGCTAATGTACACAGATCTGAACATCACTTACAAAATATTCAGAGTCTGTACAGAACAGATTATCTCATTACCTGCATGTCCATACTAACTTGACTGGATTTTATACAAAGATGATGAAAAAACTCAAGATTTTTTCTATTAATATATTCTTTCAACACTTGGTGGGGAAAGAATGCTAAATTCAATGTTCCCATCAAACACAGGTCTCTATGCAATGGGGTGTAAAAACTTAGTGCTAATTTCAATTAGATTAGCAACTGTATTTTTGTCCATGGTGTGAGGATGAGACACAATCACTCTGAATAGCTGCCAGAAAGACTCATTTGCAGCAGTCACTTGACCTGTAGCAGGATGAATAAACAAGGAAAACAAAAGCAGAGCAGAAAAGAATACATGTTTCTCACCAAAGAGTCCAGTCATGTCCACAGTAGGGCTGAACATTTCCCAGGTAGAATCCCAGAGACTGTGTGACTTCAACTAGGTTGGTGAAGTCCAGGCTGATGCTGTTGAACAGCACAGAGGTCATGATGATTTCATCGATTGCCCACACATCTTCACCTTGAGAAGAGTGATACGGTTGCCACCATCTGAACTGGATGCCAACCTGCCTTGCATCTTCAGGCAGCTCCACTGAAATTATTCTGGAAAACAAAGCAAAATTATTAATGACAGCTTTTATGTTTGTAATCATTCCATTGGGATGTATTTTATGGCAATTTTTTCTTACTGACCCTAAAAATCATTGGTTAAATTCACTCACAAATATCATTGCATCTACTGGTGTAGCTGCTCCCAGTGATGGGGACAGGGGACTTGCTTGGTAGACAATGTATTTACTGAAAAACAGCCATGTGCAAAAGCCACCAAAAAGAGTTTCTACCAGTTTTGTAAATCTTGCTGCTACTGTGAAGCTCTCTGTAAATTTAAAGGTGCAAATTAGCAAAGGAATGATTAGCTGACAAGGACCTATGAATTCCAGCTCCATTTTCTCAGACAAATCAGTGGATTTTATCCTGAAGACATGCATCTTCTAAACATCCATGCTAGTTCCTACACAGCATTGACATAATGCCTGTGGTGCTCTTGTCCTAGAAGAACCCATCCCTGTAAATTGCCACAAGCAAATAGAAAAGGTTCATCTTGTCAGACAGTGTAGTCCTTTATGTAGAAAAGGTTCATCTTGTCAGACAGTGTGATTATGTGTAGTCCTTTATGGCAGACACTTTTCTTCTGCTAGCTGCATAGAGATCCAACTGGAGGTGAGTCCCAGGTGCTTCTGGTATGCAAGGTCACCTGATTTGTCATGGCAGCAATGTCAACATACCTAGAATTGACAAACTGCAAAGAAAATTAAGAGTAATATCTAATTTCCAGGAGCAATTATCATACACTGCAGCAGGGGGGATGCATTAATTGCCACAGCAATGACACCTTCTTTGAAAGCTCCATAAATCACTAGGACCATCATACCCCACACAGCCACATCAGCTGTGAGACAGGCTGACCACAGGGACATTTGTCTCCATTGGGGTACAATTACTTGCTGGCAAAAGGGTTTTCCGCAAGCTCATCACGTGGCTGATATTGTTCTTTCTCTCTTAGAGGAAATGTGGATAAAATGATCAATCAGGTAAACTGGGAGCATCATTTTATAGGTTAGCACCAAGGTTTTTGTCAGACTTAAGGCTTTCTAACCTGTTCTAATGTTTTGTTGCCTGCACATAAGATATGAAAGAGTCTTGTGCCTGCCACGCTCTTAGGCCAAAACCTCACTCTTAAAAATGACTTGCTAAACTGGCCTTGTAAAGAGTAAATTTTAAATACTCTTGTTAGTGTCACATTGGTTTTAAAGAAGAAGATGTTAATCCACTAACCAGAAAAAAACCAAATGGCATAGCTGAACAGGTGGGAAGCACTCAGAAAGTCCTGCCTGGCAGCTCTGTGCTGGAGAGAGCAGTGTCGAGGGACAGACAGAGGTGACAGCTGCTGTGTCCCTGTGCCAAGGGACCAGCACTGAACACATCTTATGTATGGCAGATACATTGCTTTTACACTCAAATAAACATGCTTGAAGGACTTCATAGCCTCCCTAAGAGAAAGACCAAGCCCCAGTGCCCTCTGGCATGTGAATACACTACAAGGACTCCTTTTCTACCAAAGCTTCCCTAATCAGAAGCAATGCTATGAGCTTTTGGGTGAATATTTTAAAGGCACAAATGACACTTAATTGCTACTGATGCTAAAAGGAGACGATGATTTAGTCTTCCATGGTCCAGGAGGGTGAACCTGAGGAAAGCTGTACCCTGGCTAAGAGGAGCTCTGTAAGCAGTGTGTGTGCTGTGAAGCATTGGCACTTGTGTGAGCTAATGCCCTGCTATAATCCTGGGCATATTTCTCTGCTGGTAGCTGCCTCTGATGCCTCTTCCCTTTGACTCTTAACTCTCATAAGCTCGCCCATATGGACACTAATTCTCACTGACAGTAATATACAGAAAATCCTAAATCATGACACACACCACTGATACACATATCAGATGTTAAAATATTTAACACATGCTAAAATAAATTTCTCATCCCAGGGGATTAAGCTAACACAATTTGAAGATGTAGGTGTAAACCACCGTGTATGGCACATGTGTTAGTATGCAGAACCTGACTACGTCTCCAGTTGTAACAACTTCTCCTATCTGGCTTTGATTTGATGGAGAGGGAGGGGGATCCCTGCTAATGACTTTTCTGCTGCAGAGAAGAAAAGTGTTTCCACTAACATTACCAACCACCATTAGATTTCTTAAAAACCAGCTGGGAGACCTTTGCTCTGATCTCATTCTTTCAAGCTATGCGCATACCTAATACGGAACAGCCACTGCTGTTCTGCTCAGAAGAAAAATGCAGCTGTCAAATGTTAGCAGATTAAATGCACCTTTGCAGCAGAACATTAAATGTGTAATTATTTTTTGTATGACTGAAGACTAATTAAATTCCTGGATACAGACTGATTGCCAAACTTTGCAGCAGTCCATCTATGCAACCAAAAATGCTGATGTTTTCAGACAACATAACATGAAGAGGTGAAGCTTTCTTCATCAGAATTAATGTCAGCATTACCTTCAGGTTTGCATGTCTGTCATTTTTCTATCTACCCAGAGTGGACTATATATATAAATATCTCATGTCAAAACCTTTCTAACCTGTGTATGTTGTACTTAGCTCTTTGCTCTGTCAGAACAACGGATATTGTGTTTCATACTTAACCTCACAAAGCAAAAAAAGTCTCTGGCATCTATGTAATTTATGACATTTATATCTTAAACTTCATTAAAATCAGTCACTGGAATGTGTATTTTCCTTTTTGTTATAAAAATTTCATTATATATTAA